GCGGCCGCAGGGGAGGCGCCATGTTGAGTGTGGCGCGCCCTGTGGCACAAGGCGGGACCAGGACGCCTGGATCCTCCCCCTTTTTGGGGAGGGGGGAGACCAGTGCGGCCCCCCGTTAATTTCCAGCCGAATTCTTTCTGCAGGGGAGGTGCCCAGGCCCTCCCCGCTTGCCCCAACACTGGTCAGGGCAAAATGGTGGGTGCCGAGGGCCGAAATGGCGTCCGCCCCTGCCTCACCCTCCCTGAGGGCTTCCTTCCCTTTCTCTCATGATTATCGCCCGTTATTATTTAATTTCCCGCCTCTTTCCTCACAGCAAATTTATTTATTAACTGAATCGCAAGCAACACACGCTGAAAAAGCTGCCGGGGTCGAGGGTGGAGGAGGAAGGAGGCCCCGCTATGGCGTTACGTGCCACCATTTGAAGGCGAAGGGCCGCCGCTGGACGTTGGTGCCGCAGCGGACCTCCCCGAGCCTGCCGTGGTAGGAGGCCACATCCTCGAGGAAGCGGCAGCGTAGGCCCAGCGGCTCCAGGAGGGAGCGGGTCCGCCGCTCCAGGCAGCATTCACCCCCCACCACGGGGCCGAAGGGTTTGGGGATGCCCAGGTCCCTGGCCAGGACGATCATGGTGACCTGCGGGGTGACACAAGGGGAGCCCGGTAGCATCAGGACCGGCTTCTCGGACTGATAAAGCCAAAGGAAAGCCGCCGGCCACCCTCCTTCGTCAGCCTCACCCCAAAATGGGGCATCGACGTGACTTTTTGCAGCTGCCCTCCCCCAGGCCTCCAAATCCATCATCATTTTCCCCCTTTTTATCATTAAAATGCACCCCACGCCTTGCAATTTCACTGCTTTGGAAGGTTTTTCACCTCAAAACAACATAGTTTAACCCAACTGCAACCAACACAAAGCCACAAAGTTGTGGTAGACCCGGGCTTATCTGAGCCTGGCTGGAGATATTCTCTTTTTCTGGGCAGCTGTAAACATTGTGCTTTTTTGGGACAACTTTGGGGACTCATCCTGGCTGAATAAGCTGTTTTTTGGAGAGGACCCGAGGAGCGGGGACCCCCCTCACCATGTTGGGGAAGTACGGCACGGCTTTGCCCTGCTTGTCGAGCTTGAAGAGGGCCGGCAGGTCGACAATGTCCTCCTCCGTCAACCCCAGCTCCTTCTTGAGAATGTCCCTGTTCCAGTCGATGCAGCACTGGACGGGATGGAGAAAAGCAGGTCGAGGCGGGGGACAGAGGTGGGCACGGTCCCCAAAACCATCTCACGCAGGAGGATAGCCAAAACGCAACACCTCCCCTTCAGGGTTTGCACTACCCTGGGGTGGTGATTGCAAGAAATATGGGTTATTACCGGAAATATCGGTTATTACCTGGACATACTGGTTCTGCCGCACCAGGATGTCGTTGGAAAGGACCTTGTTAATGGTGACCCGTTTCGTGTCTGTCCCCGAGTACCCTGCAAATGCAAACCCCTGTCAAAATGAAGCGGCACTGGTAGGAGCCTGGCTTAAAACAGGGCACAGAGATGGGAAAAAACCCCCAACCAAATCCCGATTCCCTGAGCTTGGGGTTAAGACTGCTGGGAGTCCCAGTTCTTAGTTTATTGGGAAACTGGGTGGGAGGAAAACCTCTGCCCCTTGGAACGAGCGTTGGAAAGGTCCTATCATCCACCCTCCTGCCCACAGGAATCGTTACCTCCTGAATTTCTCCATTCAGCTCCATAAAACCAGAGCTACTGCTTCCACCCCTTGATTTGGGACGGCCGGGTCCTGGGCAGGCGGCAGTGACCCAGAGGGACCCGCGGAGGTATGGAGATCTTCCCCCACCCCCAATTAAAGGGTGCCCAAACTGGCAGCCAAAACATCATTGCTGCAGGGAGGGAAGGGCAAGCGAGAAAAAATGGTGCTAATTTGGGGTGACGCGAGAGTCCCCCGGTTGTTCCCACTCCATGCTGGAGCTCTGCTGGCATTTACAGAGATGCTCCATCCCACCAAGCAAGCATCCCCTCCATGCAGAGGGCTTTATCCCTCCCGTCCCACTCACTTTCCCAAAATAGGGCTTGAGGAGGCTGGGTATGGTGGGCAGGCATCCCGCTTGCCAGCCGTGAAGGGCAACCGGGTGGGAAAAGGTCCCCACGTCCCCCCGATACCCGCACGTCGGTCAGGCGCTGCCGCCCTCGAGCCGGCTGCTCTGTGGGGTGGCTCCGGCTGTCTCAGCCGACATCAAAGCTCGGCCGAAGCTGCCCGCTGTCCCCTTGCCTTTGAACATGGTGGCTTCACCCTGGCCCTCCTTCTGCTTCTCCCGAAAGAGCTTGTAGCACGCCGCGGGGCTGGCCATCAACATCCGAAATCGCTGGGGCAAGACAAAGAGGGAGAGCGGTCACCAAAAGTGGCTTATCTGAAGCTTTGGGGGACCTCAGGGGCTTATTTTTGCAAGGAACCTGAGCTTAAACTCTTAAAATTAGGCGTCTTTGCTGTTGTTTAGTGCCTTTTTTAACGCAGTGCTGAGGGGATATGTCCGAATGAGGTGCGGTGATTTACGCTGTTGGCAAATACCCACCAAACCGCCCCCGAGGGGTTAAACCGCTGCTGGGACAGGGAGGAAAACTGCAGCCTGGCTGCAGCTGGGTCCAATCCTGCCCACCCCAGGTGGGGTATATAAACCCCCGGGGGGGTGTTTGCTGAAGGTTTGGGTGAGCTGAGGTGGTGAGTGAGGAATGCTGCTGCTGTCTAGGTTGGGGTTTTTTTTGTTTGTTTCTGGGCTGGCATTGCAGAGGTTTGGGTGAGCTGAGGTGGTGAGTGGGGAATGCTGCTGCTGTCTAGGTTGGGTTGGTTTGGTTTTTTGTTTGTTTCTGGGCTGGCATTGCAATACAGGGGGGAGGATGGAACAAGCGAATAATCATGCTCTCGCTTCCTCAGAAGCAGCCAGAGATCACTATTAAGCTAATCTCATGGGAATTGTGAATTTGTGGGGTCTGAGCCCCGTGTGTGTCCTGGCTTGCTTCCCACCAGCAGAAATGGTCTCCTTGCTCCCCAGTGGAGTGCGGGAGGCTGCTTGCTGTGGTCTTGACGGCATCTCTTACAAGGGGCTTAGCACAGCCCCGGGGAGGGCAAAAGCACTGTGGGGAGGGTGTGTGTGCATAAATACTCCTTTTCTGAACCGTCCAGGTCAAGGCATGATGTCCCCAGGGGGAAAAGTCTTGTGTCAGAAGCAGTAAAAACCATGACAGAGGAACAAGCTAGCTTCTGAAAACATCTGGGAGATGCTGAGCAGCTGTGAGCCCTGGCCAGCCCATGTGAATATTGAGGTTTAAATTTCTTGGACTACCTCTGCAGGCATCTTTTTTTCTTCTATCTGTGTTGATTATTAGCTAAGAAAGTCCCTTTTTGTGTTCAGAGCCCTCATTTTGGGGACAGGGATGAGAACCCAAGCAAATAACTGGCTGGGACTGTCAAGGAATGGAGCTTTGGGGTTTTCCCTAGAGGTGCCGTAATGGGATTAGCTGCTCAGAAGAGAAACCACGGAGCAGCATGGGGTTTTGGGGTACCTTTGCATCAGAGGTGGGCACAAAAGTGACGAACTCATCGACGTGGCCCACGGACAGCCAGTCAGAGTAGAGCTCCACGGGAGCCTGCACTTGCTGGGCGTAGAGGAAATCCCGCACCACTCTGGTCATTCTCCTCCCTGCGGATCTGAGGGCAGAATACCCCCGAGAGAGGCAATAAGGGGAATAAATATTTATGCAGCAATAGGTACATACACATAAATTACTGTCAAGGTGGAGGAAAGAAAGGAGGGTGCAAATATGAAGGCAGAAATTGGGTGCACCCACTCCATGGAGTACCAGACTTGCAGCTGGCCAGGGAATGGCTAATTAAGGCCCTTAATGTGATTTTTTGCATGATATTTAGGGGTGATCGTGGTTCCTTTGCTCCCCAACATGTGGGTTTCCCATCTCTTACGTGGGGAAGCTGCTGCCGATGAGGATCCTCCCCAGGGGATACTCCTTCCCTGCCACGGTCACAGGTGGACTGACCTCCAGGTTGCCGAAGGAGTCGAGACTGGTGATGGCTTCGAAGAGGGGCTCTCTGGTCACGTAGCCAAAGTCGGGGCCCTGGGGAAAGAGAAATCGCCGTGGGCTTTGCCCTGAGTCCCCCCCTGCCTTCGTGCCTTTGCTTTTATCCCTCCTGCTGGGCTCAGACCTGCTCCAGTGGGTAAAAATATCACGAGTGAAGCCTGTCCATGGATGGGGAGAGGCTAAAGGAAAGGCACGAAGATAAAGGTCTCTGGGTCATCTGGGGTCAGTAATAAATGGCAAGTGCCAGGGGCAGAGCTGGGGCATTGAGCTGGGGAGAGATCTCCTCTGCTATCCTGCAGCCAATGTTTAAGTGTCCGCATTAAGCTAATTAGGTGCTGGGGGAGCCCCAAAGCTGAGTTTCTGGATGGCTGTTGTTGAGTGAGATGAACTTCAGCCCCTGAGGGTAAATCCACCCCAGGTGTAAGAGCCACCCGAAGGGCTGTACTTCACTTAAATCCTATTTAAGCCCTGATTTTCAGGACTTAATATATCTGGGATTTAAGGCGTTGTGCATGCAGGGGTAATTGGTTGTGATGTGCCAGGGTCAAATGCCTGAGGGAGAGATTACAATGTTAAAAACGGGGCAAAAATGAGAGTGGTGGGACAAAAATCCTTCCTTGAACCTGTCCTTGCTCTTTAGGTCAAGTCAAGCTCATGACGATCCCCGGGACAAGATCAGGTATGTGTTGGGTTTGCAATAAATCCCAATCACTTATTAGTGTTGGGTTTCCTTAGGGGTAAACTAAATATACAGGTCGGTAAATATGAGCAGGGAGACCTTGAGGGTGCATGATTATGATCTAGAAGTTGCTTTTTTTTTTTTAATTGAGGGTGTTTGGAGAAGCAGGGAGCTGCTGCTGCCTTTCCCTAAGGCGCCCCGTGCATTTTTGGGGTGCATATCTGGAGGATGACTGGGGGTCAGATCCTTTCCCGGGGTGCTGCGGGAGGGACTGACACCTGCTCTCAGCTTATTTCAGTTTAATAAACCATGGAGTTGGTATGGTTTCATGGATCTTTCATTGCTTTCCGAAGCAACAGAGAGGGGCTTCATTTTTCCCATGTGAGCATTGCATAATTGCAAAGAGGTTTCTTTTCCTGTTTAGCCTTTCTGGAAAGGAACTTCTATTATCAGTCATCCTGCATGAACAATGATACCACCAAACTCTGAGGAAGTTCTAGGTTAAACTCATCCTACCTCAATGGGATAAGAAAATGACAGTGACATCCCTCAGCCAACACACACAAGGCGCTGGTTCATCCCAGGTTTGCGGGTCGCATCCAAGTCCTATCAGTTCCAGATTGATTTTGAGGGGCTAATTCCCTCTCGTGTCCTTTTTCCCTGGCCCAGGGTCCCAGCGGCTTAGGGCTTGGCCAGGGCGAGAGGAGGACCTGTGTGTGTTGCGTTTGGCTAAATATTCCTAGCTGGAAAATGAGATTGGAAAGATAGGAGTGGGGATTAGGGGAGGCTCCAAAGCAGAAATTGGAGGATAATGTGTTAGCACCTCCAAAGGCTGAAATTGCTTCTCTAAATATGAAGCAAAGCAATTCCTAAAGAGGGCAGATAGGAGCGGTTACCCGGTTTATTTGCGAAGGAGCGGATCAGTGCGCTATTCCCATCCTGCCTGATGAATCTGGGACTGCATGTCTTCATTTCAGGCATGAGAAATGATGTATTTCAACGCTTTTGAAAGCGCTTACCCTTTCCCAAAGTGACGTGCATCAAAAAAAAAGTGAGCTGTCTTCCCATTACTGTCAGAGAAGACCAGGGCTGAGGCTGCTGCCAGGGCCTGGCTGGGTGTATGGGCAGAGATTTGGTGGCTACTTGAGGATGTCCTGCCCTTTCTGCATGGCGATATCTCAAAGGGATCGGTCAGTCCATCTTTTTCCCATGCTTGTCTTCGCTGGCTTCTCCCAAAATGCCCTGGCCAGGGTCACTGCTCTCCCAGGCAGCTTTCTTTGCATGCCCTGCCTGCAGCTGGCCCTTTGCCTTGGCAGAGAAGCCCCACAGGGATGTTTTTGGCAGCTGGCTGCATCTTGCTCTCTTCTGAGCCAGTAAATTGACCCCTCTCACACTTTCCTTTCCTCTCCTGCTTGGGAGCTGCTGCGTATTCACAGGCGCAGAGGAGGAAAGGAAAAACCAGCCCATTGCTCAGACATTCAGCGTGAAGAAATCCATTCCTGTCCCAGAGCTTGGCAGGAGTCCTTTGTTCCCGGAGGCATGAGGTCCTCCTTGCCCCTCTCATCCATAATAGGGATAAAAGGGTTTCCAGATGGCTGGGATGTGGATTAGGCTCTGATCCTTGGTTTGAGGGGGGGGTGAGGCTGTTGGTGCCCTCCCAGCTGGTAATATCTCCATGGAGTTGCATGTGGAGGTGTTAAACTCTCATTTTTAAGGCAATTCATCGTAGGGCCTCCAAGGAGCCAAGTGCAAGCAGGGTTTTAGGAGTGGTGAAATACGCTAAGCGTAAAAACCTGCAAGCTGCTCCTCAGGCAATGCAAGCGACCGTCCTGCTCTTACCAGCAGCTTCTTGATGGGGAATTGCTCCAGCCCTCCATCTCGAGGGGAGTCCAGCACCACCGGGAAGCTTTTGTGGGGAGCGTGGGTGTAGCCAAACTCAATCTCATCCTAAAGAAGGGAGGAAAACCCGCATGAGGCACATCAGCAGGGAGGGGAAGCTTTGCCCCCTCTCCAGCGCCCACCTACCTGCATCCAGCGGTCCCCACGGTTGATGTAGCCGAAGCAAACCTTCAGCTCACAGCCAGCCTTGTTCACCAGGTGTTTTATCTCCTTGATGAAGAGGTAGTTGTCCTTCATGCTGGGAAAGCGGATAGCAGGAGGGAAGGGGATGAAGGGCAGATGGAGGATGGATATTCCCCGCAGGCAGCTGCCTTTCCCTCTGCCCATCACCTCCCCAGCCTGTCTTGGTGACCTCCAGGGAGACTGTGGGGCTGATGTTGATTTGGCTGGGAAGGCATCATCCCTTGGCCTTTACCTGCAGATGAAGACGTTCACCGGTGCCAAAGTGTTGGGGGTCATGATCCATGGTGCTACCCTGAACACTACTGTGTCGGTGAAGATTGGTGTATGGGGGATACCCTGGGGGAGGCAAGCAGAAATTGTGGACTTCCCATACCCTGTTTACCACTATTCCCCCCAAATACCCTTCCCTTGAGGTAATTTTTGGGGTAAATTAGTGGGGACCGCTCTCCATTCAATCCCCATCCCCTTCTCCGTGCCCCTCAGGCTGTTGCACCCCTTCCCCGGAGCCCCCAGACCTCAGCCAGGGTCTCCAGGAGGCTGACATGGATGGAGACCAGCCCGGGGAAGGTGTCGTCGGGAAAGCGGAGCCCCTCGACGAAGAAGTCGAGCTCGGCAGCCCCACCGGTGTATTGCACGGTGTGGTACAGCTTCCTCCGGCCCAGCACGTGGACGTAGCGCTGCCCAAAGAAGGGGTCTGCAAGAAGAGAAAGGGGAAGGTGGGTAATTTCCAAAATTTCAGTGGTGGTTTCCAACCTATTTTGCTTGTATGCAAGGAGGTACCACAGTCCCTCTGTGCTGGAGCTTCTCTGCCTCTGTGGGTGGATACAACTTCATCTGACAGAAGTACCTTAAGACAGGAGCTAAGGGGCTTGCAATTTTGCAGTTATGCACAAGAAGGGTGGGGAAAAATGTCTCAGCCTTTCCTTGGATGGGGCAGTCATTGAGAAGATGTTTTCATGGGGCTTCTGCCCTTGCAGCCCCCTCTGACCTGCCATGGGATGACAATGCCACCAACCCTCCTGCTGACAGACTGCTTCTGCACGGAGGGACAAGACCAAGCTACTTAATGGCATGTTTCTGGCCTGGATGAGGACTTTTGGTCCCAGGGAATAAATCACTGTGCCCACAACAAGGAACAAGGAGGGGAAAATGTGTTGTAGAGCATGTTGTCATCATGGATAAAGCATCTGGGTGTCAGGACATGTGGGTTTCTTTTTTGCTACTCCTTTGCTGGATGACCTTGGATAAATGGCTTTATGGCCCTGTGCCTCTGCTTGTTAATCTCTAAAGTTTTCCAATTGATTGAGAAGAGAGAATATTCAACACTGGAAAAATTTGGAGAAGGGATGCTGAGGGCATGATTTGCTTCAGAAGTGCCGTTTGAAGAGCATGGACAGGACGAGGTCAGAGACGGAAAGAAAAGAGCTTGCAGGGATCTGAAAAGCGCCACGAATGAGGAGGAAGGGGCAGAGGAGGAGGTGAGGAAGGACTTACTCTGCACATGAAAGACCCCAACTTTGTCGGCGTTGGAGACAGGAATATAGAGAACGATTTCGTACCCCCGGGGCAGGCGCTGTGGCCCTTCGGTCCTCAAGACCATCTGAGACATGTCCAGCAAATCTGGGGTGCAACCAAAAAAAAAAAAAAAATTGGGTGATGGGTGGTCGCACCATGCAGCTCTGGCCAGCTTGCATGCTCCCTCCTGGGCTTTCCATCTCCCATGCCAAGAAATCTGCTCTTCCCTTGCTACCAGCCTTTGCAAGCTGGAAAAACAACCTGTGGTTCTGCTAATAAAGCTTGTGGCTTTTGCTTTGAAACAAATGCCCTTTTTTTTTTTTCCTCCCACAGCCCTGGCACAGCCGGTCCCTGGCCTCAAAGTGGATGGGCACTGGCTCTGCGTGGTTTTAGTTTTCCAGGAACAGGCTGGTGTATCCCTGGCTGCTGGCCACATGCCTCGCCCTGAGCTCCTTTCACCCATGCGAGGCATCCCTGGGCCAAGCTCTGCTGTCAGTGGCACCTCTGCTATTTTTCTGGCTGTGCTTCATGCCCCTGCTTGACCGCAATTAGTTTGCATGGCAATGAAAAAAAAAAAAATCCCCATGTGGGAAGCTTACTCAGCAGCTTGGTGGAGAGCAGCTCATGGGCAGCCGGCTCCCAAGCCAAATTTCATCTCCAAAAAGGTTAAAGAGGGGGAATAACAGAGCATTTTTTGCTTTATATGATTTTTTTTTTGGAAGCTGTGTTACCTTCTTTGCTGAATGCCCTTTCGTCGTTGCAGTCCGATGCTGGAGTGAAGGGGCTCTCCTTGTCGCAGCTGACGAGCAGGATGGCCCCGTGTCCCTCAGGACCCCAGGTCCAGCTTGCCTAAAACACCCCGCTGGGGCTTAGCGAGCTCAAGCTCTTGCAAGCCCATGGACTTTCTGTGCAGTGGAAGAGGCTGAATTACCTTGTTGGGGTTGTTCTTCTCCACCACGCCGTCCCGATCCGCGTCGACGTCCAGAGAGATCCCTGGATGGGCAGACCCCACCATCATCCCAGGGTTGGGTGGGTGCTGGAAGCTGTTTACCTTCTTTGCTGAATGCCCTTTCGTCGTTGCAGTCCGATGCTGGAGTGAAGGGGCTCTCCTTGTCGCAGCTGACGAGCAGGATGGCCCCGTGTCCCTCAGGACCCCAGGTCCAGCTTGCCTAAAACACCCCGCTGGGGCTTAGCGAGCTCAAGCTCTTGCAAGCCCATGGACTTTCTGTGCAGTGGAAGAGGCTGAATTACCTTGTTGGGGTTGTTCTTCTCCACCACGCCGTCCCGATCCGCGTCGACGTCCAGAGAGATCCCTGGATGGGCAGACCCCACCATCATCCCAGGGTTGGGTGGGTGCAAAAGGCCCCCAGACCCAGCAAACCTGGGTCCATCTCTGCCCCCACATCAAAACATCCCACTCCAAGGGACCGAAGGGTTGAAGAGGGATTGCTGTGTTGCGGAAGCCTTCATACTCACCGATGCCAGTGAGGAAGACCCCGGCTTGGTTGATGGGCTGCCCTCCCTCTGCGTAAAAGCTGACGGTTACCTGCAAACCCCCAAATCCCTGGTTGGGGAAGGATGCTCTCCCTCCGTGGAGGTCCCACACTCCAGCACCCCACTTCTCACCTTGTTATCGTTGACCTCAGTGCTGGCCCGGCTCATGCTGAACCTCAGGACCGTCCCCTCGTCCAGTGGCCACCGTGTCCCGCTGCTGGGGGCTGACCCGACCTCTGCTCGGCCCCGGCACGCCACCTCCACGCTCACCCCCTCTGTGTGCTTCACACCAAAGGAGACCGCCCCGGCTGGGGCCGCCCTGCCAAAAACACGCCGTACTTTGAGAGGTTTGCACTGAAAACACCCGGTTCTCCCTGCAATTAATTTCACTGCCCAAAACACAGCCGAGACTGGGCACGCTGGCGTCTCCATGCTCACCGCTGGCACCTTTCTGCCCTTTCCTCCCTGCCTGGGAATGCTTGAAGTGTCTTTTTTCTTTTTAGGGCAGAACGTGCTACTTTAGCAAAATGAGTCTATTTTGTAGCCATTGGTGCAGATTACGATCTATAATAATCACAGCCAAAGCACTCAGTGCTGCTGGAACTGAACTTGGGTTTGCAATTCAATGGAGAAATCTGTGTTTATTTTCCAGCTGAGACAAACCTGGTATTTAACAGCTCATCGTAATGGTGTGGCAACCCAGCTGAGAGACCTTACCATGGGAAACTCTAATTTTCAGGGTGATTTTATTCAACCCTGAAGCAGCTGGTGTTGCACTGCTCCCAGGTTGATGTGCCGTTGCTTTTCTCCAGCTGCTCCGTGCATCCCCTTCCCCTCTCCTGGCTCCTTGTCCCTAATTTCCCTGTCTTTCCAGGGTTATTATTTTTGGGATGCTTACGGCTCCCGAGGTGCAGGCTCTGTTTGAGCATGCGTGCTCCCGACACCTGAGAGCTTGTGCTGTATTACAGTTACAGCATCATTTATTGGGTTTCTGGGTGCTGGCAGCCCTGCCAAACCCTCACCGGGGGGGGAGAGGAAATCTGAGTGCTTGTTTGCTGCTGCCTGGGTGTTTCTTAAATTGTTAAATTACATTTAATTATGCATGGAAAAACTGGTTTGGTTTCCTTGTTTCTGGGTTTTGGGAATCCCACCGGGAGGAGATTTGACCCGGAGAGATGCCGGATGAGTTGTAACTGCGCTCCTTGGCTTGAATATTGAGGGTGAGATTTGCAAAAGCAGCAAAGACCAGAATTAACCATGAAATGAGCTTTTAAACTTTTTCCTTTGGGGGGTATCTTGCAGTGCAGCATTAGGTTGGCTTTAGGGGTGCAGGGCTGGTGTTGTGGGGACTTGCATGCCTTCCCAGGACGCTGCTTGGTCACTAGATCTTGTTTTCCTTCCCTCTCCCAGCTGCATCCCCTCCTTTGCAGTCCGTCCCGCAGCTCCTGCTCATCCCTCCGCTCCCCAGCAGCTTTCCGAGATGACACTGGATCTGTGACCGCAAATGGATCAGACCCATCGCTGTCGCAGACCCCGGGTAAATACCATATCGTGTAAACGCGGATGCTTGAAGCTTTCCTGGGACTCGTGCAGATTTGCAAAGCCCAGGGAGGATTTTGCCCACAAATTGCATTAAATCACAGCATGAGGGCCGTGGGTTTTGGGGGGGCAGAAGGAAAAATGAGGAGGGGGGATTTGCAGAAGGAGGAACAGGGGGGTAAAGGCGAGGAGAAAGGTGGAAGTGCAGAAACGGAGGGAGGAAGGGGAGTGTTGGGGGCATCGCACTCACCCATAGACGTCCGCGGAGATGTGGGTGCCCAGCACGCACAGGGCCTCGATGCGGTTCCCATGCTGCAGCCGGAGCGTGCGTTCCCCCAGCATCTCCCTGCGCACCAGTCCGGATGCCCCGACGATGGGCACGTGCACCCTTCCCCACCTGCTGCGGGTGGCACTGAGCCCCCAGGCAGCACCCAACTGCTTCTCCTTCCTCCCCGGCACACCTCCCTCCTCCTCCTCGACTTGCCCTGGAGCAAATCAATCAGCTTTTGGAGCTTGCAAAGTTTGGGATGACAAATTTGCAGCCCCCACCCCAGTCCGAAGGGAGGGGGCGGTTGGATTGGACCCTCTAAAGCCCTGTGAAAATGATCTCCGAGGGGAGGGAAGGGATGGAGAGGGAGGACGGCTGGCCTGAAGCCCAGCCGGCTCCCAGCCCTATGCAAGGAGCTCCCTCAGCTGTCCCCAACTCCCTGTCCCTCCAGCATCTCCCCGACCCCAAACGGGGACGAGCAGCCCAATGGGGAGGTGATTTTGCAGCGCTTTGGGTTTCGGCTGGCATTTGCATCCATGGGGTATCCGCTCTTTTTTGCTCTCTAGGGAAAAGCTCTGGCTGCTCTTGGGAGGCAGAAATACAATTTCCCAGCCCTTAGGCTAGAGCAGGACACTCCTTTCTTTTTTTCCCCTGCTTATTTTCAGAGGGAAGCTGGGGAGCAAGTTGCCAACGAGGGGAAATCGGAGGTGGTTTTGCATGGTGAACCTACCACTTGCCGCACCGCACCGGAGCATGTCAGGAGCAATTGCTGCCCACACAAGCGTCTGCATTATTTATTAATATCAAGCTAAATATTCATTTTAAAACCCAAACTTCTGCTCCAGATTTTGGAAGCCACAAGCAATTAGTGAGGAGCAGAAACATTCAGGTTGATGTTCCCTATTTATATCCCTTTCGGGCTATTCTTTTTAAGTGCTCTCTTCCCTCTGTGGCTGGGGCGCAGGAAATAAGTGCAAATCTGGTTTCCCATCTGAAGTAGAACCTGGGGTTTTTTTTGCCATGACCTCAGCAAATGTGAACAAGAACTTTGCGTTGCTGAGGAAACACTTGGGAGCAGACAAAAAAAAAGGCAGTTTTGCTGCATTTCTGCACAGGCAAAAATGAGATTTGTGGCAACGGAGAGATTTTATTAAAGGCTGTAGATGTTCTCCCCGAGCAATATAAGAAACTTTGCTCCCAGACTGTGCCTTTCATAGAGCATCGTGGTCAGGGTGGCACCGCTGCTGTGCAAAACATGCTGGGGGCTCGGGTTAAATGACCCCCAGTTTAGACACCCCGACCCAGGAGCTGGCCTGTTGGCAGCTGGAAAATGTTCCTTCTGAGAAGCATCATGATTTAGCTATTTAACTGGCAGCTGGAAAAAAAAAAAAAAAAATCTGAGAAGCATCATGATTTAGCTATTTAACCCCTGCCTATTTAAACCACCCATAGTAAGAAACACTGGTGAAAGAAGGACCAGGAAGAGAAATAATTGAAAAAGAGAAAAAGATAAGCCAAAACTGCATCATGTTTGTGCAGGCGGGCTCTGTTCTCCAGCACTGTGCAAGACCTATTTTCCCCTCTTTTTTTACTCCAAAGCAGAGCCAGCAGCATCACATGGGCCGGGTGGCCTCACCTCCCTGTGCTCTCCTGAGACCTGTGGGCTGGGGAAATGGAGGTGTAAACCCAGCAGTTTGGAAGAAAACTAGCAAAAAGCAGCTGCTTTTTTTTTCCATTTTCACTTCCCAATTCCTGCACCCGAGAACTTAGTATTTCAGTTGTCAGTAAGGAAAACGTGCTATTTAAAGCCTCCTTTTCTTCAAAAAAACCAAACAAACCCAACCCCAAATCCCTCCTATCTTACAGAAAGACCCCAAGGTCACCACATCACCTGTGATTTTTTTAAAATCGGCCGGAGCATTTCTAGCTGGTCACGGGGTTTGTTTTATACATCTGTATGTAAATATAAATGTATTTATATCCCCTATGGTCCAGCTGGCGTGCTGGTGCGCGTAAAAGCCCCCAGCACTTGCCAGACAGAAGGAAACCTGTGGACCCTTAAGGGCAAGTGTTACCTGCTAGCAAATATGGGATTGAAACCTTGGTGGCTCTGGGGATTTTTGGGTGGTCCTGGGGTTTTTTGGGTGGCCCTGGCTGCCCAAGGGGCTGGGGGGGGCCGTTTCCCCCGCCACCTGCACAGGTCCTGTCTTTGAGGGATTGGCATGGAAGGAGGATGGGGTCTTTGCAAGCTTCCTGGGGGTTTTTGGAAACCAGGTTTGGTCTTTGCAAGTCTTTGGGGATCTTTAAGCCTTCTGGGGTGTCTCAAAACTTCTTGGAGTCTTTGCAAGCCTTCTGGGGTCTTTGCAAGCTTCCTGGAGACTCTGCAAACCTTTGAGGTTCTTTGCAAGCCATGCAGGGTCTTTGTAAGCTTCCTGGGTTCTTTGCAAGCCTTAGGGGTCTTTCAAAGCTTCTTGGGGCCTTTGCAAGCCTCTGGAGGTCTTTGTGGAGCCGCTGCAGCTATGCTGGCTGTGGGGAAAATACGGAATCCTTCTTGCAGAGACTTTGGCAAAGCACCCACCCATCGCAATGTCTCATTTGGGGAGGAAGGAGAGGGGCAACTGTGCTGCGGCAAGGTGGCTGAGGCACCCTCTCCATATCTGCGTCTGGTGCTGGGGACAAGTGCGAGGACCTACCTGTCCTCATCGCGGTGAAAGCCTGGGCGACTCCCCCCATGAGTTGCTAAAGAAACCTCGCTTTATGCTGCAAGAACGGGATTTTTTCAGGAGGCAAAAGTGCTATTCGTGATGCAGGCTCTGCTCTGTGCTATCAGGTGGGAGATCAAGACATGGTGAACCATCACAGGATGTATATATAGATATACACACGCACACACGTAGATGTCTGGAGGCTTGTGGTTTCTCGGCTACAGTCAATCTGGTCAGAGGAGTTCTCAGGTTTTTTTTTAAAGATCAGATCTGCCAGATTACGCTACGCTCTGCATAAACTTCCCCGCTGCCGATGGATCTCTGCCTGCCCTAATTTCAAAGACCTGGGAACAGATCCCAGCACTGGAGCTTGCAAACAACCCCGGCGAGCTGATTCCTGAGGGTTTTCATGTGCGCATCACCCAGCATTTTCTCCCTGAGGAGGACCGAGCCGGTGGGTGCAAGGGGGTTTTAAGCTCTGTGGGTGCTTGGTGAGGGGTTTTGGGGTGGTTTTGCAGCTCCCTTCCTGCAGACACGTGCCTTATTGCAAAGAGTAGGAGAGAAATGTTCCCCCCCCCGCCCCCGGCGTCCTTTCAAGCTGACCTTTCGCGTTTAGGAGGTGCAAACAGGTGCCTGTCCCAATCGAGCCACGAGGCGCTGCCCGTTCCTGCCCATTCCTGCCTGCACTGGCTTTATTTTGGAAGAGGCAGGCAGCTTCGAGGAGGCGAAACCAACCCACCGGCAAGGATGAAGGAGCTTGGGTGACGCTGAGCCCACCTGTGGCTTTATTGCTCTCCCCGGGGGAGGCATCCAGCATGCCCCAGTGAGGGAGATATTTATAGGGCGGCAAATTTAATGCAAAGCTGGGGGAGAACGTGGGCAGGGTGAGCACAGGGTGCATGCATGGCTCCAGCCCCGGGGGAAAAAAGCAGTTTTGTGGGGTGCTTTGCTCTTGGATTGCCAGGTATGAAGTCTCCCAGCAGGCAGATGCCTTTATTCTGGGGAGAAGAAAGGATGGAGGGGGATTTTTGGTGTCTTCTTACCCAGGAGAAGGTGGTTGCAAAGCCAGCTCTGACGAGTCCTGGCCATGGATGTTTTACCAGGATGGGAACTACCCTCTCTTGGGTTTTACTGGCTTTAAAAGCATTTTTTTACTGGTCCAAACCAACCTCCTGCCCTTCTTCCCTGGCTCCCAAGTGGGATGGAGAAGGCAGGTCTCTGGGAGGGGATTTGGTGCTCACCTGGGATGCTCCTGCTGTGCTGTTACAGCTATGCACCTAGAGAAAATAAACCCTCATACAAACCCGAGCGGGACTTGATAACTGGTTCGATGCCTTGCCCTATTGCAAGTAATTAGGCTGACATGGCTCTTAAAAGTTCCTGCCTGCAATTATGCATGCAGAGTAATAAATAAGGTGTAATTATCGGCTTAAGGAGATTATCCAACTTTCCTTGACAGAGTGGTGGTGCAGGATGGGTGAGAAGAAACACCCCGAGGGAGTCTGGGCTATTAGTGGTGTTCCTGGGGGAACACTGGGGGGTCGGGTCTTGCTCCATCACGGCTAGAAACAGGCTGAAATTGGGGAAAAAGGTGAAGTGAGCCTTAAACAAGGCTGATGAAGCTCACTCAATCTGATGGAGAGGCGGGATCCCATCCGTCATGTACCAGGGATCTTAATAGCAACTTCTTGGGACAAGGTGTTATTAGGAAGAAACACTCAGCTCTGAATGGGCCAGATGACTTAAAATTGTCATTCTCCCTGTGCACAGGCACGTTGGTGCTAATAGCAGGTGGAGGAGGAAGAAGAGGTGAGTGTAGGTACCACCCAATGAAGATGAGGTGTTTTGGGCTTGAGCGAGCATCCGCAGTGACCATGGCAGCTCAAAATGTGCCGTGACTAAACTTGCTGGAAAAAAAACCCCAAACCAAAATGAAGATGAGGTTCCGGCACCGTGTCTCCATCCTTTCTGGATAGGTGTGATCCTGGGTGGATTTTGAGAAGCACGTGCTCTCAAACCCTCCGCTGAAGCCCTCATGCTTGCTGGGAGCCCAAAACCACCATCCTCCGCCTCCCTCCAGATTACAGACTGTACCAGCCTGACCTCGTGGGGATTAAGGTGTGTTCCCTGTCCGGTACAGGGCTCAAACCAGCCAAGCAGGATGTGATCCTAAAATCACAGCAGGCGGCAAGCTCAGCACTGTGCCCAGTCCAAACCAGCGCGACCAGCAGGCGTGAGTGGGAAATCCAACTTGCAGCTGTCTTCGGTAGAGATGCTGCCGTGGCCAGACTCTTCCTCGGAGGATGCAATGAGCTCCTCACCCCCCGTGCCAGCTCTGCTTTGCCCCAGCTCGAAGGGTTTTAGGAGTG